ACTGAGATTCCTAGATGTCTTCGTACACAGAAAGACCTATGGGACATATCCCATCCCAGGTGTGGACCACTCGAAATTCGAACCCGCGGCTCCTTGGTCATGAAGTGTTGCACTCTTCCATTAGGCCCGTTGTTTTTGGCGAGTACGATTGGGAACATGTTCGTTCCCTAACCAGATCGGTAAGCGCCCTAATATAATTCATGGAAGTGATGCATTTCCTTATATAATTGTTCATTATCAGCAAGACACTCGGCTGAAAAGGCGTCATAAACATGTATTTGAGATTTCCAATCGTAAACTTAAGCAGGCGCAATTACCTTTGGTAGGCTTTGTAGATAGGGACCGATAACGTACAGAATAATGAGTAGGAGGATGCAGGAGATCAACGAAGCAATCTACAATGCGAGGCAGAATAAAGAAGAAAGATGTTTATTTGGACAGGACAGAATCTTCGGAGGCGTATAAGTTAGAAAGGCAATATAGACCTGGTCCAGTCTCCGAAAAAGACGTTCGCACATAGACTGCCAATCGCTTTTTGTCAGCAAAATGCGTTAACACTCTCAGCTTTGATTGGGAGCAATCCTTATCGCAGTTGATAGAATAAAAAAATCTGCAACTCGGGGATAGAACGTTTGATTTATTGTTCAATTCCGGTCTCAGGCCTTCGCTCCCTACTCCCAGATTGGGATAGATCTGAGTGAAGACTAGGGATTTTTAAATGTTCCCTCCAACGTCCTTTGTCTTTGTTGTTAACACTTGTAATTATCTCCCAACCGGAGTCTGTGAGAACGTCACTAGTCAGAAGAAACTTGCAGAATCATATTTCTGAATTCCATACAGTCTCTGCAACACATCTGATGTACTACAGAAAAGGACGTTTTTAACCTCAGTAGCATTTAAATGCATTGCCAATTAATGTCTTTTTGTAGTCAATTGGGACAAGAGGTGTGATCAAGTGAATAACGACAAAAAACGATCTAGTCAACGAGTATTTCTCTTCCGACTTAGCGTTTAAAAGAACTGCGACAGGACCCGACCATAGCTTCAGGTTTCATGAAGGTGAAATTCTAACAAAGCCTGAGAACCGCGTGAGCGATTAACTGCTTGAATCATGGTTCTTTGGCCGGCAGTCGATTATTTGGCGGCTCCATATTCCGTGATGCCATCTTGCCTGGGCGAAATTACCAGTCAAGCGAGAAGAGGATGCAGGTGATCAGCCGTCCCGGTGACAGCAAGCCAACTTGCCGAGTAATTGTTACGTCACGAGCAAACAACGGTTATGCAATTATAGAAATTAGCGACTCGAGTACGGAACAAAAAGTTATCACCATATTAACGACGATTCCCAGCGATGAACACGAGGACTGTCAACTACAGTAGGAGTATTGTGGCCTGAAAACCGCGTTCTGTAAGTACGGCGCCAGTTGTGCCCCCTAGTACCCTTTTCTGCAACTGTCTCTGATGATAGGTTCGAGAAAGACCTCGAAACGTCCAGTCAATAAACGCCATGTTTCAGTGATCGCACCTTCTTCTGAACTGCTTCCTGGAACTCGCCTGTTCGCTTCTATCAGTCATCTTCTTCTTCTGAGTCACTGTAACCGTCCGTTTTCAAAGACGCCTCTGGCGGCAACGATGCCACTAGTCTGTAAATCCCTATCACACCCCACACTGGACGCATAGGTATCGTTAAGGGCGTGTTGTTCAGCAACTGCTTACCCGTTATTGTTCTAAGTGTATGGCTTCCAATGCATCTGTGTGCCGAAGGATGGCCGTTTTTAAAAAACTTCCTTACTCACATGACCCATCCTGATGACGGGTGGTCCGTTTAAACTAACTTGTGCTTCATTGTCACGTTCCTATCACCATTCTGCCAAATGACGCACGTGACCCTAGATTCTACCCCAGGCCTCAGGGCAACTAGGCTCTTTGAAATCCCGAATGGCTGTGCCAATAGAAGTGAACAGTTCAGAAGCGGAAGATGCGATCACTGGAACAAGAGGTGTATATGCCTGACGTTTCGAATTCTGTCTTGGACCCTTCATCAGAGAGGACCGCAGAATAGGGTGATGCATGCACAAATTACGCAGTATTTTCAAAATTTTTAGCGGCCACGCGACTGCACGCTCACTAAAATTATCAGCTCCCGTGACCACCGCTGGGGGTCGTAGTTGGGTCGACAGTCCTCTTCCGAGGCATTAACTGCCGCGATTTCGTCCTCCATGTTGGATGCGAGCTTGATAATTATGCGACAATCATGTTCACTGTCGTCGGAGTTGTTGGTGGGCCCGGCCCTTCCAACGTGACTGATTCTCCTGCTCAGACAATGTCTAAGTACGGAGTATGAGAACGGCAAGTCGTTGCCCTCGTTGACTGACTGTGGGCCTGAAAAGCATGACTCGAGCAGCCCGCAGCTCACGCGGTCGTTACCTCCTGCGAGGATTTCGGCCTCGTTAAACTTGAAAATATGGCCGGGTTCAGTCGAATGAGCTGCTACCTGAGAGTTGGCGTCTTTCCTCCTCACCGCTGCTGCGTAGTCGGCCATTCGCTTCCGAAGTAATCTTCCGCTTTCTTCTGCACCAGACCCGATAAACGACGTTACCCGTGTCCTGCCGTGGCGATAAGTCTTTCGGTCTCATGACCCGGCGCCTAATGGTTGCTTCTGGCCTGTGCGCAACTCCAACTCCAACGCCAAAACCGAGTTACTCCCTTTGTATAGTGCCTTTAGAGAATAAAGATGCTTCACAATGGTAGGTGAATGCTCAGTGGTCAGCTAAGGGACTCAGTCGCCCCGCTGTCTTTCTACCTATATCCCCTAATTGATCGGTGAGCGTCCATCTACCAGCGTCCTGATCGAACCCAACATTTCAACAAGCCCGTGGCGCAATGAAT